ACACACACACACACACACACACACACACACACACACACACACACACACCAGGCACAGAGTTCCTCCAATAAGGGTCATCAGATTAATAAAATAGGACCTATGTAGCACAAACAAGGAACAAGTAAGGGAAATAAATGACCTTTGCAAAGTTCAATATTACACAAAATGACAAATTAGAAATAAAGTCACAGAGATTAAAAGAACAATAGCCAACCCTGACCCAGTTCTTGCAGTTTTTGGTTCATCTAGCACCTGACTCCTTCATTCAACAGCAGCTAATTCATGAGTTTTCCTTTACTAGCTATCCTAAGCATTTCCCAGGATGTCAGGTGGTGACTATCGAGTGTCTAGCATCTCTGCACTCTCTTGTGAGGATGGGGAAAATGTATTACACCCTGGCCTTCAGAGGCAATGGTGGACTCTGACAGATGGCTGTCAGATACATTCCATACAGTTTGGCTTCACTGATGACTTTCCTTTTACTTTCAGTGTCTGTTCACCTAACCCTCTGAAAATTCTGTTGACAGATGCCAGATTTCTCCTTGGACCATTGCATCCCTCTCTTGATGATGTAGTTTGAGTGACAAACCCTCTCTCCCAGAGATCTCCTTATTGGTCACTTGAGAGCCTTAGGGAATGGCTCTTGGCTCTCAACCTTGGCTCATTGACTGCCTTTGGCAATGAGATCCACTTTCTTCATCTTGACTGATTTTCCTCTGGGATGTCTCCTAAAGACCCAGCTGACACTAGATATTTCTGGTTCATTTTAGCACTTAAGAATGACCATTATGAAGTACACTCGAATGCATTGGCACAGGAGACGGCTTCCTAAATATAACCCCTGTAGCACAAACACTGAAACTGAAAAGTTTCTGTAAAGTAATGGACACAGTCAAAAAGACAAAATGACAGCCTACAGAATAGGAAAAGATCCTCACTAACTCCACATCAGACAGAGATCTGATCTCCAAAATATACAAAGAACTCAAGAAATTGGTCATCAAAAGAACAAATAATCCAATAAAAATGGATTATAGACCTAAACAGAAAACTCTCAACAGAGGAATCTAAAATTCCTGAAAGACACTTAAGGAAATGTTCAATGTCCTTAGTCATCAGAGAAATGCAAATCAAAACAACTCTGAGATTCCATCTTACACCTGTAAGCATTATTTGTCATAGCCAGAACCTGAAAAAGACCTAAATGCCCTTCAACTGAAGAATGGATAAAGAAAATGTGGACATTTACACAATGGAGTACTACACAGCAGAAAAAATAATGACATCTTGAATTTTGCAGGCAAATGGAGTTAGAAAACATCATTTTGAGTGAGATAACCAAGACCCAGAAAGACAATTACCACATGTTCTCACTCATAAGTGGTTTTAAAACATAAAGCAAATAAAACCAGCCCACAAATCACAATCCCAGAGAACCTAGACAATAAAAGAGATGTACATAGTTCTAATTTCTACTACACGGGTAGAAGAAAAAGACAAGATCTCCTGAGTAAATTGGGAGCATGGGGACCTTGGGAGAGGGTTGAAGAGGAGGGGAGAGGCAGGCATAGGAGCAGGAAAAGACGTAGAGATCAACAAAAATCAATAAAAAAGAATGGCCCTTATACCTCCTAGATAATCAAGCAAAATGGCTACCTTTACAATTTTTGTGGGTGCACAGAATGATGGAAGGATATTCTTTTGTGCTTCTCTCCATCCCTGCTTCCCCTCTCTAGAAACTTCCTATATTTATACTTTCTTTATCTCTACCCCAGGCCTTCTACTTACACTTGCCTCATGTCTTATTGGCTGTCAAGACCTTGTTACAGTCCAGGCCACTGCTGACTGCTGCATTGACCCTGCAATTCTAGGAGCCTTCAGTGTCTGCCCAGGTGACTTCAGCAGTCTGCAGCTGGAGCCTACCTCTGGAACTTACCTCTACTGCCTAATCAAAGCCAAACTTTTCATCTTTGACGCTACCTACTCTTGTTCTCTCTCTTCATTAGCCACCTTCCCTTCAGTTCCTTCTCCCTCCTCTCTGGCTCTCATCTTGGCCCAGGTCACCCTTCTTTGTTGCTCACCCCTATCTATCTCCCCACATGGCTCAGGTCTGGTTTATGTTTACTGTGTACTCTTCTAGATAGTCCTGACTCTGATTGTGCTCTCTCCCTTTTATCTACAAGAACCCAGTCACTCTGAAGCAAACTGCTGACCTGACTCTGCTAAGGTACATAGAGCATTCATTTCTGCTTGTTTCTGCCTCTTACACCATCTAATTCAAAATTCTAGAGTCCGATTCTTCAGTTGCTCCTTCCCTCTATCTCCTCTAGCCTGATATGTCCTCCATGTCAATACTTCTACAGTCTGTACATGTTTCTATGGCTCCTGTAGCCTGCTATACCTCTAGCCTGATACACTCACATGGACTTTTCTCTTGCCTCTCTTGTCTCTCTAGCTTTCTATCACTTCCCATGAGGAGCTGCAATCCTTCCTGCAATACCCTAGGATCCTTTTCCTTGCTTTCACCCACTTGAAGCTACCTACTCTACTTCTCTTTGTGCCTTACGGAGACTCTTCTCCCTGGGAACTGCGGTCCTGCCTGCTATTTTACTATGCTGTCTTTTTACCTGTGATCCTGCCTATCACTTATGATTCCTTCTTTGCTCAGGTCACTTCTCTATATCTTTTTAGCTCCCTGGTACAATATACTGCAACCATTTTCCTCTCCTCCACTAGGAACTGCCTGCAATTCTGGAGCTTCTTTAAGCCTGTCCAGGCCTGTGTGACATTTTCTTTTGTTTCCCAGATCCTGCCTGCAATCTCATAGCTTCTGGTCTCAGATTCCACCTGAAGTTCCCTCTTCCTCCTTAGAACTGCCTATTCTTCCTTAACAGCTCTTAAGAGCAGCTTCCCCGTCCCTGCTGATTCTCTATGCTGGAGCCCATTTGGGTCACCTATACTCTCTCTCAACTTCCTCTTGCAGCTTATAGAAATTTCCTCCAGCAGAGTTTTGTCTTTAAATCGTTACTCTCTTCTTCCACAGACTTAGATTTTATTGCTACAAACAACATGACTTCTGTAGTATCAAATATTTTCATGTGTTAACAACTGCCATCGCATAAACAAGTGATCACAACATCTCTTATCTTTAAACTTATTCTTCTCTACACTTCCTCAACTTCCCACACTTAAAAATCTTTTCTCCCTAAAATTTATCTATACTCTACTCTAGAAAAATCTCTTAAGATTATGCTGTATGCTCTGTTTCAGGATTTTTAAGCTCATCGGGTATGGTTTACAATCTATAAAATCTGTATTTAAAAAGTTACCTTAAAACTTGTAACAAGATTGTTATATCTTAATTTGCTACATTTGATTCAACTTTCCTTCAAAAATTAAATCTACTTACTGTATATGTAACTTAAATTCAACTATTGTTTAAATATATATAGTGACCTCATAATTGGCAATCATCTTTACGAAGGTTAAAGATTACATACCATATGACTTCAACATCTTAAGATAACCACATACATGACCACTTGGCAGAAAACAGCAATCATAAAATTTCTCAAATACAGTGAACTCTTAATTTATAATCATATTGCTTCTGAGACTAAAGAAACAACAACAAGTCTTTAGAATATTTTGGATTGATATAAAATTTTACTTAGGTTAACAAAAGTGGACTTAGATATTTACCTAATTACTTACTTTTTGTTAAGTCTTCAACACCAGGCTTCTAAAAATTTAAATAAATAACAGCAAATACTTCATGAATAAGATTTATAAACTCCTAACACCTACTCAAATTCTTAATACGTTTTATCTAGTTTCTTTGCCTTATTCAATTTTGCTATTTAGATAAACTAAGTCATACAAAAATATGACAGTTTAAAAAATGGTGCACCATGCTAAAGATAATCCAATGAAATCTTCAACTCAAATTTTAAGGCTCAAACTTAAAAGAAATACATATAATCCTAACCTTATAAAAGCTACTAACTTATTAAAGATAACTAAAACATAAAAGTTAATAATGTCACCTTATAAGTAATCAAATTCTTTAATGTTTTCATAACTATACTATAGTCATACTAAAATCTAATGTAATTAATTGCAGAAATAAAACTTTTTTGGCTCCTACATGTGTTTTTAAAGTTAAGCTTATTATTAATTGACAGATGGAACTCAAACCCTTTAGAAATCTGCTGAATACGGCATTTAAAATGTTTAATAATAGAGTTTCCCATAATAGATACACCAAATCCTACTGGAAATCCCAAGTTCTACAAAGAACATAGATAAAAAATGATGACTTTACATGGATTGTGGTAATTCTCACAACTAACCAAAGCTGCTTTGCCTACTGCCAGGGCTTTGCTTAAACTGTGGGCATTATGGGTTGATTCTCCCACTCTGCCTGGCCAAAGTAAGGTCAATTCTCCCAAGGTCCTCTACAGGAAAAAATCTCTCAGACTTGGGTCTGACAGCTGAAGGCCAACGCTGCTCTGTGTGACAGCTGGAGACAAAATGTTGTCTTGTAAGACTGCAGAAGACATACCACCACTGACCCTGCTGAAACTGAGACCTTGAGAGCTTAGTGCTGCTGTCAATGAAGCCATGGGAGCCCAGAGCAGCTATTCAGGTATTGGGAAAGTCTCTGTCATTTTCAGTGATACATAGGCCGTGTGGATTATATATTTTACTATAATTTACCCTCTGATTTCTGATGATTTGATTAAACTCACACTAATCACTCTCCAGGAACCTAGAGTTTCATTTTTGTCAGGTCACCGCATCACATTTTTTCTAAGTACTATGACCACTTTTTCAGTACGGAGAAAATTTTGGGGTCCCACTCAACACCACCCTCCTCCATATCAGAGTACATGGATAGTCTTCCATAGCCTTCCCTTAGCTTGCTCTTTCAAAGGCTTCTACACAAAACCTCTTTTGCCCTCTGCTTTGTTCTTTAGTTATTTCCATGGTATGGGATACCACCTCTCTTTCCCATGTTGCATATCATAAACCCCTCTCTATTGCACTAAAAGATCCTGCTGCCTACATCTCCAAACCCTAATACCCCTACCCTTAACCAACTCAAATGCCTCAAACACATCATTGAGTCTCTTTTACCCAAGCGGTTTCAATGCTCTACCTCCTCACCCTAAAATACACACTCCAACACAGTACATTATTTGCTCCCTACATCACACATTTCACTCAAATACCAAACTTCTTCTATTCTTTCTCCAATCTCACCTGGTTATCACCCTGATGGAAAAGACCTTTCTACATTACCTGTGATGTATGTCAGCAAACTAACCCCATCTCCACTATATGAATCCCCTACAGAATTCAAGTTCTAAAAGTCTAAAAAATGATCGTATATAAATACACATATTATCCAATGTAAAATGTTTTTGATTTGCTATCCTTTTGCGATGCTAGTGGTATAGTAAGTCTTCAAAAGTTCAGAGTTTTAACATTAATTAGTGTAGTTCTGATTAGCTATCAATCTAGCCCTTGTAAAGTACTGCTACTATTATTACAATCAAAAGCTCAAATTTTTAAATTTCCTTTGGTAGACTTCTAAAAATAGGCTTCAAATGTTTCTCATCATGCTACAAACATCTCTATCTGATCTATATATCCAACGCTCAGGAAAATGTGTTAATACTTTTATGTCAAATTAATTTGCGCGTTCCCAAACTTTTACTGTGATTCAAAGATATAAGTCTACAGATTTCTCTACAATGTAGATTTCAATACAGATTACAAGCAGTAATAAAACTTTTATCTAATTTTATAAACATAAAAAGTCTATATAAGCTTCAAGAAATCAATGTGGATCCATGTGTCACAGGTCAAATAGACTCCAGATACATACGCCTGTCAACAAACAGCCTAAGTTTCTTGACCTGCTTATTCCTGAGAATGAGATCCTCCCCACCCTTCCTTGGTCTTGGAACATCTCTTGACCAGCTACTAAGATTATGGGTGTAGATGTTTCAAATGTATATCCAAGATAAAAATCATTTTATCTAAACTACTTGTATTAGTCAGGATTCTCTAGAGTCACAGAAATTATGGAATCAATCTTTCTTTCTCTCTCTGCAATTATATATGTAAATGAAAATTTACTGGAATGATTTACAGGTTGCTGTTAAATCAATCCAACAATGGAAAGTTATAAAAGAAAAAGAATCTTTGCTGAGTTTTTCAGCTGGTCTTTAGTATATTCTGAAATCCAGAAGAAGGAGGTTCCAGTGTCAGTGAAGAAATGGCTATACTAGCAAGGTGAGGGCAAGCAGGCAAAGAACCAAACCTTCCTTCTTACATTCCATCAGATGATGTGTCTTCTCACCTCATGATACAGATCATCAGAGGTGTTTCTTTTTTTTCTTTGAGACAGGGTTTCTCTGTAGCTTTGGAGCCTGTCTTGGAACTTGCTCTTGTAAAGACCAGCCTGGTCTCAAACCAACAGAGATCTGTCTGCATCTACCTCCCGACTGCTGCCAGTAAAGGCATGTGCCACCACAGCCTGGCTCAGAGATGTGTCTTCATACCTCCAAGGTTATTACTAGAAATGGATTTACCCACTTCAAACCAAATAGAATATCTGTCACAGGTATGCCCTCATTTCTGGGTTGTAGTTCATTCCAGATATAGTCAAGTTGACAGCAAAAAAGAACCACTACCTTTTGTCTGTCTATCTGTCCTAGCAGATTTGAAATTCACTACAAACTCCTCCAACAACTACACAGCCCCAAATGTTCCCCTGAAATATGCATCCTAGACAACTCCAAAATGGTTAGCTCCAGATGATCTAACCTCACAAATTGCTTCAATGCTGCCTACACTTCCTCACCCCTGGTTGGTTTCACAGAGTTCCACATAGTCTGGAGAGTGAATTATGCAGCATCTTTTTCCCAGACTTGGCCAACATTCAAGCTTCCTTGAGTCCCTAACAGGAATGCCCCAATGACTGCAAAAGGTGACCAGAAAGAGAGACATGAGGTTTCTGTCCCGCATGGTTCTGCAACCATTCAATACCAAAGTAACACACAGAGGTCTACATTAATTATAAACTAGTTGGCCTAGTAGCTCAGGCTTTTCTTATTAACTCTTATAACTTATATTAGTTCATAATTGTTGTCTGTGTTAGACATGTGACTTGGTACCTTTTATTAGTGAGGTCTTCTTATCTTGCTTCCTCTGTGTCTGGCTTTCTCTGTGTCTGGGTGATGATTGCAGGCTGAACTTTCCACTTTCCAGATTCTCTTGTTCTCACTGCTCCACCTATACTTCCTACCTGGCTACTGACCAATCAACATTTTATTAAACAAGTACAAGAAACAAATCTATACTGGGTAAACAAATGTCCAACAGCACAGCACCTTAACCTAAAACTTATTGAATTTTGTACTTTCCTCTTGAGCTTCTTACTCTTCCTACTTCCTCCTTCACTGGCCCTACCTTCAATCCCTTTAGACTCATAACTCCTTTTATATTTTTCTTCGTCCCAATCAGCAGGAAGTAGCCAGAAGAATAATGCCCACTTACCTGATACCTGACAACCCAAAAATAAAGCGAAAAAGTTGGGATTGAAGGACTCTCTAACAGGCCCAAGAATAGCAAACATGGAGCTATCAGGTCTTGCTCTTCCCCTTCCCTCTCCCTTCCTAAAATGTTAAATTACACATTCCTAAAGCTCACCGCCAGGGCCCATTCCTGATTTGACCATTTTCTTACACCTAGCTCATTTATGAAAATGATCATCAAGGTCCAGCTCAAAACATCAAGGTCAAGTGAGCAAAACTCATGCTTTGGCTACAATGACTAACCTGTCCAAACAGGACTTACCAACACATCCTAATACAGACTTCCTCTCTTTATCCTAAAAACCACTCCTGCAGAAACATCTGTTCCTGTCTTTGTTTGATTCAGAGGCATATCTCCCCTCAACTTCTCTCCTCTGGGGTAATGACATCTCCTTTAAGTTGAGTATGTGGTATCTGGATGTGGTAACTCCAAAATCCTATTACTTAACATGCATAAAAATAGTGAAGTTGCAATATGCTGTGTTTGCAGGATTTTGTGGGAATTTGGAAAGGTTTCTACTTCAATGGAAATTAAATCACATTTTTTAAAGCTACTTAAAGATGGAGTTACAAAAGCTACAAAGTAGTGGAGAATGTTTTGATACAAAAACTTTTCGGATAGCCATTATTTTTTCTAGGAAAAAAATTTATTAAAGGAGAAAATTTAAGCAAATATTTTTAGATGGAGAATTTTCACAATTTTTTCAAAATTTTTCTAAAAATTGGTTGTATTCATACATCTACAAGTGTTGAATTCCTTCATTCACATGTGTTGAATTCATATGTCCACATTTGTTGGTACACATATGCATTCATTTTAGAGG